TTTTTTTTTTTTCGTTTATCCAATTCTTTTTTATCCATCTCGCTCTTACAGAAATTTCATGCAAATATATAACAAAAAAAAAGCAAAAACGAAAAGAAATATCCGTTGCTGAAACAACTTTTGTTTCCCATACCGCTGATTGAACCACTTCGGAAACATTTCCCACAATCAACTTGTTTTCAACTCTTTTACCAACCGACTAACCGGCAACTTACATGAAACGAATTCATATAATAATACGGTAACGAAATCTACTTGGTACATTACTAGTCAAACATGATTCTGGATATCTACGGCAACAGAGGTAGTCTTCTCAAACAATACTATTCATCCTTTTTCTCACCCCAAAACTTCATGTCCCTCGCAGTAATAAACAAAAATGACACAACTTAAATAAACTTACCGTAAAGAAGTAAATAAAACAAAAAACAAAAAAAAAACTACAATTAAGTTTAGTAAAGCACAAAAATATCATAATTTTTTCCTATTTTCACAATCTTAATTTACCAACAAAAAAAAAAAAATGTCAATATGATTGATTCGTGTTGATATTTCGTTTAACCCAATGAAACACACAGTTGTCTTCTCTAATTAAAATGTACGTTACATGATTTTGAATAAATCAATTTGTTGATTGTCCAATGCCCCTTCATTTTCGTCTTCCTCTTCTTCATCTCTTTCTCCATACTTTTGCCGTTGATCTTCTCTTCTGTTCCACCCAACTCAAATTAAAAACTGTTTTTTTTTTGCCTATCCAGAAAGACAAAAAAAAAAAACAAAGAACAAAAAACAAAAAAATAAAAAAAAATAAAAAAAAGAACAGAAAATTAAACTAAAAATCTACACACTCGTTGAACTGTCCTGTTATCATTTTCGTCGTCTCAAAACCCGTAAATAAAAGTTAAAAAAGTTATCAAAGCAAAATTAACTGCTAAAAAATCCTTCCTCTATTTCCATTTTCTAATTCTTTGCTTCATGAAAAATAAACTTTCACTAATGACGTCCTTTTACTCAGCTTTCTATCAATTATGGTAAACAAAAGTGTTCTAAGTAAAATAAATTTAAAAGAAAGAAAACAGGGTAAAGAAGACGGAAGTGCTTCTAAATTTTTTTGACGTCACCAAAAAATAATGCTTTCCTTTTTTTTTTTTCCATTTTATTATAAAAAAATAAAACTGAGTGAAAAAAAAACAAGGAGTAAAGAAAGAAAAAAAAGAAATATTCTTTTTTGTATTTGTGTCTGTGTATGTGCGCGTGTGTAATAATTTCTGAGAGATGACACAAATCGGATGCCCTCTCACCTTCATTTCGTCTCATTTTACAATCAAAACTTGTCGACTTCATAATGCAACACTATTCAGGGTAACAGCGGTTACGGTAGCCGACAATACACCGACAACGCAAACTTCAAAGGTAAGCTTGTGAAATGAACTAAACTGAGCTGAACTAAACCGAACTAAAACCAAATGAACCGAACAGAACCCATCTTACAAATCCAAATCTCTGTCACCGGCTTCCGTCTTTACTCACAATCCCTAACCTCAACCATCTTGACAACAGTTGACGACAACGCATTACTGCCCTAAAATGAAGAAGACAGTCCACTCTATACCACAGTGTTTTTCTTTGGTGAAAGTGTCATTCTGTTCCTGATAATCGTATCAGCTGTAAACAGTTCGTTAAACGTTATTTTTTGAACTGTCTAAACAGAATGCATAAAAAAAAAAAACAGCAGCAAAAACAACAAAAAGAAATCTGTTTCAAAATGCTCATCAAAAATTTATTTAATTTCAATTTTTTTTTTTTGTTGTTCAAGAACATAACGAAAATTTGGTAGGACTTCTGAGAACAAAGAAAAGAAATAATAAAATAAAGACGAAGAAGAAGACAAAAAGGAATAACAATAACTGCGCGACAAAAAAAAAAAAAAGCTTTAGTTATTGAATTTTTTGTTTGGCTTGCTCATGCAATTACGGAACAGTTAATTCAGAAATTTACAGACTTAAACATAAAACGAACAAAACTGAAAAAAAAATCATTAAACGGGTAATAAACCGATGACAAGAAAAGATGATAAAAACCATTTGATGAAAACATAAGATTTTCTTTTCCTATTGCTTCCCCGTTTTTTTACTACACTTTTTTTTTCTCTTCAGTTTCTTCACTGCCTTTTTTCTCCTTTTTTATTCTTTACTTTTATTTCTATTTTTTTTTCTTTTTAATCACTGTTGCTACTTTGCATGGAACAACAACAAATTATCATACAAAAATGACAATCGACAAATGCATTATTGTATTTCACACACAAACCCATACTTATTTATATTTATCTATATGAATGTACACTCAAACAAAGCCAGCATTATGTCCTACCAAAATCTTCACTCTTTTCTCCTACCAAAAATATAAACAAACAATCAAAAAATTGTTGAAGATAGTAGAAAAGAAGATTTTATAGAGCAAAAAACATTTGAAAACAAATTTGAAAATAATAAAGAACTAACAAATCGCTGTCTCGACTTATAAATAAACTGGCAATCTTCCTTTGATCTTAAAAAGTACCGTCTTTTTGTCACCCATCCTATCAGTGTTACTATGTGAGAAAAAAACAGGTAAACCGGCTTAGTGCAGAATTTTAATCTTTAGATGGGCATCTAGATCAAGCTAATTAGTCACTAAAATAAGTTTCTTAGTTAGTCAACCACTAAATGACTATAACATATGTTTGTGTGTATGCTGCTGTTTAAACAGTAATGATGTGAAGCACAAAAAAGAAGAAAAAATCTTCAAGAATAACAACAAACGCTATGCCGCCTTACTAATCGCCTTTACTTGGTGCTCCTTAAGCTGCTAGGCTTCTTTTTGTACATATCAGCAACTCTTTCTTAGTTCTTTAGTATACCTCTCGTTATCTGTCAACAGGTATCATATTTTATCACCACCTTAATCTGTGCAAAGAAAGACAAGAAGAAAAAAAAGAAGAGGACAAATAATTTTTCTCCCTTCGTCACCTTATTAGCCAAATATGGATCTTATTTTTCTTAATTACCACTATTACGATCAAATCATCATCATCAACTCTATCACAGTTACAATCATCAAACATTCCGTAACGTATTTTTGCCATCTAAATTAATTAAAATACTCTTCAAC